TCAGTCATAATTTTTTTTAATTAGTTACTATGATTCACATAAACAAACTCACATTTTCAATGGTAAATATCTAATCCCTTCTAGAGCATGATACTTTTGCGCAGTGGTTGGTATGTTACAGTTTTGCCAAGTTTGACCCCATGCAAAGTAAATGGAAAAATTCCCAGCATTGTTAGTGATTTCCCAGATATGCTTTAGAGGTACCAACTTTTAAAGATAAAGCAACTTAAGGCAAACCCGTCTGTATGACTTGGCAAAGTTTGGTGGCTCAAACGGTCTAGAAAGAGATGCATATTATTTGTCTGAAGCGAAAGGCGATTACAAGCCAACATAATTATATTGAAAGTACTGCCCCATCTCCCAGCGAAACCAAAATCAATGTCCCCAACTGAGCAGCAACTTGATTCTAATTTCAGATAACCACGAATGGACTGATGGAGACCTTCTATAACCCAACAGCGGAGAAACACAGTGAGGGTGCGAGCTATATTCCGGCTCACATTTTCACATAACAGTGAGCCCTCGTAACGACGGAGCCAAGCCGTCAGTCAACAACACACTGGTAACAGAACTTCTCCCCTCACACTGAGCTCACACATGGTTTCAGACTGACAAAGATCCTGCCAACGCCTCGCCCCCAGAGAGAAACTGCCAACCAGGCACCGGAGCTCTCAGTAAACAGCCACTAAATCATCAGACAAAAGGGAGGTGATGGCCAAACTATGACAGCCATTAAACCTCACCCAGAGTTTTCAATCCCATGATGCCTGGCCTTGTTTGTGTCTCTCAGAGACCCATGAAAGTGAAGAGGAAAGATTAGCTAATTAGCAGAGCTTCCTGAATAGAAAGTGGGACAAAATTGGACCGTGGCGTGTCCGCCGAGACGTTCTTGGAATCTACAACAACGTGCAAAAAAAAAAAGAGCTCGACCTGATGGTTCAAACCCAACCAGTCGCTTTGCGTTTTCCACATTTCACAGCTAGTCTTAAATTGGCCCATCCATCAAGAAGCCCAAAACAATGATTACTCCTGCTCCACGAGAGGTGGATCTCTCTTATTTATGCTGCAGAGATTTTCCAAACTGCTCCAGCAGCAGAAAACTAACTGTGGAATCCGAACTGCGGTGCTAGGCCTCCTCTCCCGAGTCCTTCTGAGTTCAACGGCCATCCATGCACCTTGAATCCCCACTTTGAACCCAGGCACCTTGCGCACGAATCCCAGATGCAAACATACCAGATTAAAGCACAAAATAACAGCACATGCACATTTCTTTGAAGACCCGAGATCAGAAAGCACACCGTTTAGGGATGCATATCTAATTAGACATGCTAATTTCCTCTCTTTTTGCATTTAGATCACGTTTGCTGCCACCTTCTGCTCATGTAATATTTAAAAGGCCCATAAATTAAACATGGTTGTATGGAATCTTAATATACTGTGCATTACAATGATGTGAAGCACTATATTCACTTGTAGCATCTTCATGTTCAATGTTATTTGTAGACACACTGTTTTATAATCTCACTTTTTGCTAAATCTCTGAAATGCAATATTTGAGCAAGTCATTTGCAGACGATTTGAATGTTAAAGCCATTTCTCCTGGAGGCGGTTTGGAAGCAGTCATCTGCTACATAAACAAATGTAAATGCAACTCAATTGTGCATCAGTTATCGGCTCTAACATGAAAATAATTACAGGATTATCAGACAGAATCGTATGAAAGCTAGTATTATCATTCATTTTTAAAGCTCTTATGAGGACAGTAGACTTTAAAAAACCACCGATGGCAAAAAAAAACATCAGAAAGGCTATTCCTTAGTACAAAAGCTAGACAATGAACTTGCTTGCGGGCTGAAATGTCCTTGAAATCAAACCCAGCAGTGAATATTGTAACACAAGTTAACATAAAATCAACAAAGGAGTGTTGAATGCCACACTTTCTCCTGCAAGACTGGCATGTTATCGCCACGAATCCCTTCACTGGGAGACACCTCCAAGCTTGGAATCCATCAAGTCTCACTTTTTATTCTTCGTCCGCTCTAATCTTTTAATTGAATCTTTTAGTAATTACAATCGAATAATTGAGGACTTCCATTACCACAAAAAATGGACAGCGGCCACAGGAAGTGCTCATTTCCCTGTCTTTCACTCCGAGCTCTGTTTCAGAGAGCTTATCGGAGTCCGATGCGGACAGAAACAATGGGGCGTGTGTGATCACGACAGGAAGATGATTCGAGATTCATGCTGCAAAAGCTGACCCTACAAAACACAACTTCCTGAAAATCAAGCAAATGATGAAATTGCCGTGCCATACTTTGCGAGGAAGCTCTCAGCCGCTAAAAGAGAAACTGAGCTGTTCAGAGAAACATGATTGTATCAAGATATTGATTTCCAAACCACCTGCGCACTTCCTTTTTATGTCAGATGTCTCAATGCTGCGCTTGACGAGTTGCTCAACGAAAAATCTATACCGTTCCCTTTCAGGGATGGAAGAACAGCGGCTCCATTAGTCACGAGAGACAATCTTGGCTCATGCAAAGCTTCTCTGTCATTGAATTCGAGAGAGAAAAAAAACTGCAGCAGATGAAAACAGGAAAGCTGGTCACACTGACAGCGGCCTGATTCTCTACTTCACCTCTATCTGCGAGGGGGGTGGGGGTGGTGTTGGGGGTGAAAGATGCAGGGAAATGCAAGTGAAAAGCTGCGGTTCGAGCTTCCTGGAAGCCGTTACAAAGCAGCAGAGTGGCACATTTCAATCAAATTGTGTGGAAAATGAAAACAAATCTATGAAATGCACTCCTCTTAGTGTGTAAACACACAGTCAGCTGCACTGATTGCATCGCCGCTGTTCACTGGTTGATTTGCCTCTCCTCGCTTCTGCACGTGTCTCCATTTCCATGATTTTTTTTTTTTTGCAAAAAATGTGGATTTTGTTGGATTTTTAGTGGTGATATGGCACTGAAACTTTCTGCATCAAAAATGCTTTGAATAGATTTTAATTCAATCAGAACATTATGTGTAGATTGGCAATACAGTGGTACCCCGAGATACGAATGCTTCGAGTTACAAAATGTTCGAGATACTAAAGATCTCGCGGGAAAGTTTTTGCTTCGAGATGCGAAGAAAAATTTGAGATACGAACCACCACAAGCAGTTCTGCTCTGTTATCGGCTAGTTTAGTCTGGTGCTCCACTCTCCCAGTGCAAAAAGGGTCTGAAACGCTTTAAAACACTTTAAATCAGTTTTAAATCGAGCAAAACATTTTGTATAGATTACTAATAATGTGCTATAACAAATTTTAGAGTCAAGGCTTTGTAAAAGAAATAATGTGGAAAGTGCTGTTCTGTAGCCCAAGTTAGAGAAGCCCAGTGACGTGTTCTCAGAAGCGTCTCTTCATCTGTCTGTGCTCATGCTTGAAACCATGTTGGTGTTTGTAATTCGTGAAATATCTCGAGAACTTTCATACGTGGTGCTGTAATGTTTCCTGCCATCAGTTCCACCTCCTCCGACACAACGCTTCACTCAAGATACGGTTTCACATTTGTGTACATATTACGTATTTTGCTTGTGTTTTCTCTGGTTTTCCATTTTTTATCAACTTATACTGTTGGTTCTGAGAGCCGTTGCACGGATTAGGCGTTTTACATGTAAAACTTGCTTCGGGATATGAACGCCACCCTGTAACGGATCATTTCGCATCTCGGGGTACCACTGTAATGTAATAAGTTCGACTTAAGGAGTCCCAAAAACGTACGTTTATTTCACGAGTTTGCTGTGCGAATAAGGAGTCAGCAAACAGAATTTAACATAGTTTTTAGAAAAGTCAAATTGAAATAAATAAACAAATTTCTGAGGTTTTCTTCCTATTGATTTCGGAAACGCCATCCAAATGACATATTTAAGTCTCAGTACCCTGCTCAGGTGTGCTGAATTTCATTCGCCTACAACAAACTGTTAGGCTGAAACACATTAGGTGGCTCTATACAGCCATTTTTTTTACCAGTCCTGACGTGCGTGAGAAATTTGGTGACTTTTTGAGCACATTTAGACCTTCAAAAATGCATCGAAAACCGCAAAACAATAATATTCCGAGGAATTAGAAAATAGGGTTCTACACAAGTGTGTCTCATATGGCCGGCGGAGTGAAGCCACACTCCCATGATGCTGACCGTAGAATGATTTCCTTTAATAATGACCCTAAAAACTTTAAAAATGGTTTTCTCAGAAATTACGTTACAATGATTTTTGAGAGTCATCTATACAGCGAACAGATTTTTGGCTAGATTTTCCTCTAAAAAAGACAGGGCCATGTGATTGACAGCTGTGAACGCTGAACAGAGCAGACTTCTCTATTTTTTATGGTTCTATGCACCTCCAGTGCTCGAGCCTTAAAAAATCAAAACTCTAATCAAAATGCTTCTGGTCTAATCAGATTTAAACGATCCATGCTAGTCCAGGAATAGATTCCTCTCAGGGAAATAATCCAGTTATAAAAAAGAAAAGTATTGCTTTAATTCAAGAACATAGTTAAATAACTAATTAACAAATTAATTGCAGGTTATTATGAAGCTGCGCTGTTGTACCGAGGTTATTTTGTACGTTATAATGATGCACCAGTCAGTGATCAACAGAACGTGTGTCAAGCTTTTCTTTCCAATCAGAGTAAAAATAAATAAAAGGGTCACTTTGGCCAGACTTGGACAATTTTCCCTTTCCACTCAACAGATTTCAAACACTTTATAAAAGTATTATTGTCCGTGTTTGATGAAGCGTAGATGAAGTTTGATTCCAACACATGATGAATGATAATTTGGAAAAAAGTTACTGACAAAATATGCTTCACTTTTTGGAAGTAATTTTTTTGTTAACAATTACTTTTGAGGCCGTATATTCCTGCTCGGTGTGTTCGGCTCTGTAAGCACAACAAGCACCAGCTCTTATTTCCAGCAAAATGGAACACTTTTTTCTGAAACGACTGAAAACATTTGGTCAGTTCTTGCTTTTCCTGGGGTTTGAACCTGTGATCGTTGCATTGCTGGCACAATGCTCTACTGACCGAGCCACAGGAAGCCAATCCACGGCGTACCTTTTGATCACATGACCCAGTTTGCACACACTTCTTCAGCACCAGCATATTTACTAATATAAACTGAAAAACATTTGCTGGTTTTGTCTGTGGTGCAAAAGCAAAGACAATAATAAAGTCAAGAAATCCAGGTGTCGGAAAGATCCCAGGGATCACCTGCCACTCCACAAAAACCTTTTGCAGGGTGCATTTTATTTCAAGCAGCTTTCTGTGCAGAACTAAGTGATTTTGTATTTGCTTGAGTCAGAATATTTAACATGGCACAATCAAGACATAATCAAGATCAATGATTGAGGAAAAAATGTTAAGTTGCTGCACTTTTAAGCAAGCTTGGGTGCAATATACTTGATGATTTGCAAGTTTTAGGCACAACATACTTTAAATTGATGGAACAAATGGCATTTTGAGGGAAAAGTGATGATGGATTCTTAACATTTTGTGAAAAAAAAAAAAGAATCTGTGATATCTGTTGGTCATTGTATAGTTTACTTCCCACAATTTGGTTTTATAAATATATGTATTTAATGGTGAAATGTTCCATTTGGTAAAAACTCAATAAAAACTTCCATGTTGGGGTTCTTGAAAAAGGTTTCATTAAAGCAGGGTTCAGTTTATAGATGCATTACGAGTCCAAACCAGAAACACTTCACCGACCATGGATCTCCCATAAACTGCTTCAGCTATTTAATTTGAAGATGTGATTAAACAAACAATGGAACAGAACAAAGCAGTTCAAGGCCAAGTTGTGTTTCAGAAGACCAAAAAACATGGAAACTCTGAGGAGTAATACTTGGGGATAAAAATCGGACTGATTCCTCTGCTTTCCACAGACAATGGAGAAAACTCCCTCATGGTGGGACTGGCCAGCCTTGTTTACAGAAGTTATTGGGTCTGCTGGCCTGTAACAGAACACCGTTCCCTCTCTTCCCCGAGGGCAGCGGGGTCTGCGCGATTGCCTCTCCTTCTCACTGTTTCCTGGAACCAGGAAGGAACAGAATTTAAGAAGCATCGAGGGCTTGTTTTCTAGCATGGGCCTGGAGCTCGAGCGTGTGTAGCGTTGGTGAGACATGACTGATTAAATAAACAGATTTCATCTTGTTATCATCAGGGCCCTGGCCAAGGATAGGAGGCATTATGGACTGCCCCCTCCCCTGTGCTCCGGGTCGAGCTCAGACAGGGCATCTGTCTTCATTAAAGAGAGCCCAGTGTGGATGACAGCCACTGAAACGGTGGTGTCTTTCACGATTAATGAAGACAGATGAGTGGCCCTTGGAGGAACACAAAGCAGAAGCAACACATACAAATGGAAAACAGGGTGCTGTGCATTTTGTGCATGTTCCTTCTCAAAGTTTCGCCAATGGAAATTCGATGCGAAAGAAGGATCGTTTTACAGCCAAAGGCTGGAACGCAGGAAGGAAAAACAAAATGATTGAAACTGAAAAAGGAGATCTCCCAGCTCTCATACTTGCAAAACTTTCCATTTAACAGATTTATAACCATTTGTCTATACACCATTCCCCTTTTGCCTGCTGTCAAACACCCCTTCCCAATTCCCAATCCGAGGGTTTCTCCGGTGACGTATGTCCCTCTCACTTCTTTACTTGTTTGATAGTGTTGTGTGGCCTGAGCCGTGGTCAGGCATGCTGGGATACCAGAGCTGTCAGGCACAATTGTGAAGTGAAGAAGACAAATGCAATCTGCATGACTGAAATTATAGCACAGTGTCAGGTCCCCCCCTCTCCCAGTCTTCTCTCTCTCTCTCTCTCAAACACTCTCTCTTTCATCTCTCCCTCTCGCATTACTTCCTTTCTGTTTAACTTTTCATCAACTGACAAGGTCAAAAATCAGGTTACCCGCGCTGTTTGTGAAACCAGACTCATCATGGAAAACGGTAGAGTCTGCCCTAGTGGTTTGTTTGTGTCAAAACCCCAAAGAGATGAACAAGAAAAGCACTTACAGCGTACACTAGCCGTCCCAGTCCAAGCAAAAGGGTCCAGTCCGGCGTAGAAGGGACTGGCCTTCCGAAGCATGCATGCCCCTCGGTTGGTGACATCGTAGAGCTGTCGGGGACCCATGCCCAGAGCCTCCATGCAGTCGAACATGCTCAGCCGCCCGCCTCCGATCGGCTCGTGTCACCAAAACCAACAATAACAACACCCGCAGCTACGACAGTGCTAAATTCCCCGCTGGAATTCCTCTAGTCAGGATATATGTGTTGCCTGATCCTGCTGCTTTAGCTCTTGTGAGCGTTTCCTCTCTCTCCCCCTCTCTCTCCCTCTCTCTCTCTCTCTCTCTCTCTCACTCTCTCTCACGCTGCTTGTTTCCCTTTCAGATCTGCACTGCTGCCTGCTCGGGTCGAGCTGCTCCTAGCGTGTTGTAACAGACCTAAATAACAGCCCCACATAGCAGTCAGAGCTCTCAGACACTGGAGCGAACCAACTGCCTCAGTCCTGCACACAGAGGGGGGTGGAGAGAGAGAGAGAGAGAGAGAGAGAGATCTAGAGCAGGAGTGAGACAGTGATCGAGAAGGGGGAGTGAGAGAGAGCCATATCAAGCGAGAGTGAGCCAGAGATAGAGAGATCAAGTGAGTGATCGAGAAGGGACGCAGGGAGGGGAGTCTCTGTGTGCTTTTGCGTTTGCCCTACCAGCTCTGATCTGCTTAGAGGACAAACTTTTATTCGATTCTCTCCGGCCTCTTTTGTGATTCATATTTCAGTTCGCACTGCGCACAAACAGCCTTCCTTTCTGCACCTCCCCCTTTTTTTCCCTTGCAGTCCATATGAGAACCCCCCCCTTCCTATCCAAACCCGTCCCTCAGCCCCGTCTCTAATCATAACCACATTAAAGTCCAGAGCGAGTGAAAAAGCAAGAGAGAGGGAGAGCATTGTGCAAGCAGCAGATGCCAGGACAAAATTCTCTCCTTTGTCTCCACAAAACCAGAGTAAATGACTGATGGCCGCTGCTGTCTCCAGCTCATTAAGAATGTGGTGAATATTCAAAGCCCCCTCTGGCCCTCAGAGAAGCTTTCAGCAGAGGAACTTTGTGAGGGGGATCCGTGCACTAGAGGACGCCAAGCTGGAGACCAACAGGAAGATGAAGCTGGGAAAGAATGTCATGGGCTTGTCTTCAACGAAGTCATGATGAATCCCTTCCTGAGGACTTCAGTCAGATAATTGCGTATTCCATTACCCGGCTGTGAAACGGCTGGTTTCCAAAAATGAAAAGTTTCTTCTTGCGCTGTACACCTAAGAATTTCTGTGCACCTCAACTGAAAGCTTTTGGAATGAATTGAGAAGGTTAAACCCCTCCACAGTGGCACAATGTGGACTTTTAGTTAGAAGATTGTCGGTTCTAGGCTCGATGGGGATCTTTCTGGAAGGATTTTGCATGTTCTCCGCATGCTTCTGTGGATTTCCTCTTGGTACTCCGGTTTCTCCCACTTTCCCCAAAATATGCGTAAAGTTAACTGTATATTCGCGTAAGGAGTGAACGTGTGTGTTGTCATGTGCTGAATTGGCGACCCTTTCCAGGGTGTGCCTCGGGCTCTCGGCCAAAGTGCGCTGGAGACCAGCAGACCCCCATGACCCTAAAAAGGAAAACGAGAGTATAGAATTTAAGGGTATTAATTTAAGGGGAATTTATAGAACTATAACGGTATATTTTCCACCACTAGGTGTCGCATGCGTTCGAAATGGCACAAATCTTTACTGTAGTCCTTAATTCAATTACATTTCTAATAGTCCTCATATTGTCATGCTCCAATTTAATTTTGCAGTGCCACCCTGCCAATTCTCTGCTTTGGATTGGGCGTTTGTTCCGGTATTCTCAGAATATTTGCAAAAAAACGACGTTTCCATCCAATGAGTGCAAGAGAACAGCTGTTCTCGGCTGTTTTAAATGTGCTCTATAATTTTGTTTAACTACTTCCTCGACTGCAAAAAAATATAGAAGTTGCATCACCGACTCCTACCACTGGGCCATTTGCAGCTAATATTAATGCTGACATGACAGACAGAAAAAAGAAGACCTGAAGACTGGAAAATAGCATAGAAAGACAGACTTTGCTGCTTGATTTTGGTAAAATATCGGCAGCTGTGGTTGCCAGAACTTTACCGTAAAAACATGGTAGCACCATAATTGGTTTAACAGGATTCCGTCCAATGTACTGCACAGTAAAAAAACCCGTAAAATTTACGGTAAAATATCGGCAGCTGTGGTTGCCAGAACTTTACCGTAAAAAACATGGTAGCACCGTAATTGGTTTAACAGGATTGCGTCCACTGTACTGCACAGTAAAAAATAAACCATAAATTTTACTGTAAAATATCGGCAGCTGTGATTGCAAGAACTTTACCGTAAAAAATATGGTAGCACCGTAAATGGCTCAACGGGATTGCGTCCACTGTACTGCACAGTAAAAAATAAACCGTAAATTTTACGGTAAAATATCGGCAGCTGTGATTGCAAGAACTTTACCGTAAAAAATATGGTAGCACCGTAATTGGCTCAATGGGATTGCGTCCACTGTACTGTAAATATTATTTAATTTTTTTAGGGGATTATATCTGTGCAAATAACAATTATTAGTTTATACCCATCAAATTTATATTTACGGTTCATCACCGTCTAGTTTAAAGGTGTATATTGTAATGAATATGGTAATTAATTATTGACTGTCTAGTTTTAGGGTTTATGTTATTTTTTACAGCTCCAAGCATTGTATAATTTACAGGTTTGTTGAAATGTTATGATTAAAACCTTAATTATTTAAAAAAGCAGACCGATTATTATTTCTCATTATTTTCACAAAACACTATTCTCCAATAATTTTAGAACTACAAAATTTCCAAAATGCTGCTTTGGTAAACGCTGTTTTGTAAACAAACACACGCCAACCCAAAAAGCCGTACAAGCGAGTACAGTGGCTGTATTCATTCAAAAATTGTGTTTTTTTTTTAGTTTGGATAAGAGTTTGAGCATGTTC